GAGGGAGAGGGCAACCTTTGGGAAAGGCGAAATTTGAAAATTCAGAATAAAGTTGGCAATAACTCACCAGGTAAACGGTTTCGGGGGATACTGATATCCCCAACAGTTGTGGACACACTGGATGCATAAAACGCCTGCTATTTAGTGAGACGTTGGCCTATTGGACATCTCTCGCAATCGATCCTGGGTATATCGTAAAAAGGTCTGGAGATTAAAGTTGTGTGGGAGGTTCCGATGATAGTTAAAAAATCGTTCAGCTGTATCACCTTTTCACTACTCAACTGCCATGCCACCAGAAAAAAGCACGAGGGCTCGGATACTCTCAGCTTGACCGAACCTAAACAAGAGCAGCCGGGATGCAGAGATCGGGTTCGAACCACGAACCTTCCGGTCAGCAAGTTCGCACTCTAACCACTGAGCTATTTCGCGTCGATGATAGTAGCGCAGCTAGAGTTATCCGTTTTTGAATCAGGCACTCTGTGGTATTTGAAATTGGCCGCGCTTAAGTCTGGGAATTTTATTCCTGTCGAGCTTTCGTCCTGTTTTTGAAGTCACTGCCTCTCAAAAAGCCGCTGTGTGGCTGTTGGGAATCGCCAGCAGTGCGTATCTCACGAATCTCCCGGACAATTCGAATCCGGTACCTCCTGGCTAGTAGTTTGGCCACAGGTGGCTGGTTAAACTCGCACAAGACATGTCGCCACTCATCCTTCAATCATCTGACTCGCATCACGTAGTCACGGTTTACGAAGAGAACTCTGCGTATACATAGGTACCTTGTGGAGTGTAACCAGCTGATCTCTCAAGGGAGAATGAGCTTCTCGAAAAAGCGTCTGACGTACCCCAGCACTGCTGATGTGGTGTCTCCACTAGACACGCCCCAAAGTGAAAAAAGAGAAAAGAACAGGTGAGGGAGGGGACCTGATGCTGACTTATCGCAAGTATTCTGAGGTGCCTGTAAGCACCCAATCAGAAAAACTGGTTAGAAAATGTCAGCGCAAAGACCACTAACATCGATTGGCCACATTTTCTCGCCTTGTTTCCAGCCAATCGCAGGAGGGGTGACGGGAGGTCCATTCTGCTAAGAGTTCGTTTGAGATGAGGTGAATAAACAACCAGTTGGGTGCAGACCAGAAGAGCCAATCATCACAGATTACTCACTTCCTACTTTGAATTGAAGCCATTAACTGTAATTCCCAGGAAAACGGAGGTCCGGAGAAATACCCTCAGTGTGACGTAGATCTTGTAGACGTGCTGTGGAAACGTTGATCTGATAGGATTTTCTGTTAGATATGCGTGAATATGTTGTCACGTGATAGGCGGGTAAAATTGTTCAGCTGTAACATCCTGTTGTTGTCAAACTGCCATGCCACCAGGAGGAGGCACGGGGGGCTGGGATACTGCCAGGTTGCCCAAGCCTAAACAGAGGAAGTCGAGAGGCAGAGGTCGGGTGCGAACCACGGGCTTTCCGGCCAGTAAATTCGCGCTCTAACCACTTGGTCCATCTCGCCACCTAAACAATTCCATCTTCAATTTGTTTTGAAGGATGCTGAAGAATTTGTCGATTTATGCCCTTATGATGACGAGGTGATGCCCTTAGATGTGCAATTTTGATTCCGTTCTGCAGAGCTTGGTCCGCTGATTTGAAATACCATGACACAACTTGACGAACATTGATTTTTCCCTTCCTCTGTGCAATACAAACTAAGTTTGTAGAGGACCAATGTGAACAAGTAAGACAAAGAGGGAACGGATTCTGTGACATCACGATCGATTGGTCCAGCCAGCATTTGAGTGAACAATGGAGGATCCGGTGCAATTGTCTCAGCTGTGGCCATACGCCTATCCTGAACAGATTTTTGTAAGTAGATTGGCGTTCGTTAGAGAATCCTAGAAGCACTATGCCATCCAAGTAAGCAGTCAGTGCGCTAGTGGCTGACTTGCTGGATCCGTTTGTCAGCCGAAATGGGTTATACTCTTCTATTCGCTTGCACAACTTTCGCGTTTTGTGCCAAACGTATTCAGGTGTAGGACAGACAATCATGCTTTGAATGAGGACCAGCAGCTCATCCATGGTAGGATGTAGGAACATCAGCTGAGCAGTTGTAAACCACGCTGCGAATGAAGCCACCGGAAGGCTTGTGTGCTGTAAACGCCCAGTCAAATAGTCTGGTTAGATCTCCCCTGAAAGAGAGATTGAGAAACGTGAGATGGCACCGGGACCGGACGGTCTGTATCCAGCCCTCTTCAAAGAAGACGGAAAATCCCTGGTGACCCACTTGACAAAGCTTATTGGTACTATGTGGGACGAAGAGAAAGTGCCTGCAGAATGGGGCATGTCGACAGTTATCCCTATCTTCAAAAAGGGTACACGGACGCTATGCGAAAACCACCGTGGCATCAGCCTGTTAGCTGTGGAATCGAAAGTGCTCTCTGACCTTATCCTTCGAGGGTTGAATGGACACAGGGCGAGACAGATCCATGAAAACCAAGCTGGGTTCCGTCCTGCAAGAGGTTGCATCGACCATATCTTCACCCTCCAACAGATTCTGGAACAGCGACACTGCTTCCAGCAACCAACAATGGTTGTTTTTCTTTATCTGAAAGCTGCCTTTGGCTCTGTGGACCGCCAAGCACTATGGCAGTGTCTATGGAGCAAGGGTGTTCTCCATAAATTCTTGACCCTCCTTAAGGCGCTGCACGCCAACTCCCGCGGCCGTGTAAAGGTCTAAGGGAAGCTTTCTCCTGAGTTCACTACACTAAATGGTGTCTGACAGGGCTGTCCTCTTTCACGTTTCCTCTTCGATTTCGTCATTGATACGATCATGGAAGACTCACCACCAGCCTCTAATGCCTGTGGGGTCGAAGTGCTCCCTGAGCCTCCGCTCACAGATGTCTGTGGTTAGATCTCCCCTGAAAGAGAGATTGAGAAAAAAGCATGGTCGTGTACTCATCTTCGACCTTCAGTTTCATAACCCGTTGATCTGTACTAGCCAACCTTGCAGGGCTTCTATTAGATTAATCCTAACTAGGTGTGACTCAGTCCTTACTTAGTCCTCTCGTTGTTCACCACGCATCCTCTTTTCATTTCTATATTTAATTTTTAGATCGAAATTGCAAAGGCTTACGGCGTTGAGTACGAACCGAATTTGGAGTTCCTCAATAGCAGCACTAGCGATGGTAGTGGTGGCGGCGGCGGAGGTGGCGCTTCCCGCAATGCAGAGAATCAGCTGATCAATTTCGAACCCGATCTACTTCCTTGTATGCCTTCGATGCCTGCAGACTTTACCACTGGCAATCCTGATAAACCGTGGGAACATACCGCTGACTCTGGACCCGGGGCTCCGTACCCGCAGCAGTCCCCGTTCCCGGGACCAGCCGAAATACCGCCGCCATGTGCTCCGAAGGGACTGTCTCCCGACGCGCAGGTTGGATACTATGGTACGTGACTCGTTTTGCGATGACTGGATGTCCAAGCCACATCTGTATTTCTCAGATCCTATGTTTTTACATGAAATTCTGCGCGCTTACTTGGTCAGTTTGATTAAACAGGCTGGTTTCGTTGGTAGGCGATATTTAATTGCAGTCATTTCAGCCCATGCGATCTTCTTCAAGAATATACTATCCACAGTGTTCGTCAGATCATCCACTTGTGTTAATGCTTCGATTCAGAGTGACTTATGGCGAGAAGGGCTTTGTGCCTCCCGGCTGTTGATTGCCAGCGCGGTGCCGTGGTCCACCCTTTGCTTGAGTGACACTCAGCACGTCTTCACCGTGCACCGACTGATAATCGCTCATTTATCTTGTGTGTTGCCGTGTTCGAGAGTAGTTCCCAGAAATTTGTGCCCCCAGATGTGTTGGTGATAAGTTGGTTTGACGCTAACATATTCTTGTGCATCACCACACAACTCTGTAACTCACGCAAGCTGTATCTGGTTGGCCTTCAAGAAGGCTTTCGTTGGATTTAGACTCATCTGGACATGACATGCTCGGTGGAGTCTCTCTTAGGTCAATCCTTTTTCGCGGTCTACCTCAAGGTGAGTCCAAATCATCACTTGGCATTTCGACCTGTCAAATCTGCTCAGCTGAATCAAGCGTTGCTCTAGAGCGCATTCTGGATATTTTTCCCTCGGGGGGGGGGGGGGTGTTATCCACTTGAGCTGTTGTTTAGTCTAGATGGGTTGCTATGGTTTCTAAAGACCGCGACGTAGCTTCGCTTCATTGGTGGATTTTCATCAGCGTTGCTTGACTTTGGAGTATGATCAATATGAAATGAATGAATGGACAAAGGATCATCTCTGTGAAAGAAGCGATATAGCCAGCAGGTGTTTTCCCAGGCGTCTTGGTCGGTCATCAGGTGCAAAGCATAAGATGTTCGACATATACTCTCAGTGGCACACGAATTTGGTTTTAACAGCAAACCTAATTGAATTCAATTGAAACTCATGTACAAATGATCGTATTTGTCGAAATCTGTCTAACTTGGGTTCAAGTGGATGTGCGGGTTAGGCTCCTTGGTCTTAACAATACGGTGAAGCGATCTTGGTGCGAGATTTTGACTAACAAGTTGATACTAGCTTCCGCATTCAGAAAAAATGTCGCCTACAAAGTGACAATAGTGTGTGAATTTTTGGATCGAGTTTGCTGATGGAGAGGAGAACCTACGGAAATCCCATCTCGTTGTTGAAAGGGAATTGTCTTAGTACTTACAAACCCCTACAGACCGAGAAAATTCCCGAATGGCACCTTTGAGTCGGAAAATCAAGAAACCAAACCCGGTCAAAATGATTTTGGGTCCTCTCAACCCATCAACCGTGAAATGTAGGCACTCATACTAACCGCAAGACCTGTTAGCCGACACTCAACACCGACTTCGTATACTGACTGGAAGAGATGTTGCCGGTCGGTTCTCTGTCTGCCTTAAAACACGGCCAACCTGGCCGGACGAAGCTTTCGTGTCTAAAGTGGAATGCTGCCCAGCTTTACGATCATCCATTGTTTGACAAACCCCTCTGAACCGATGAATCGGTAGGGTGCTTTAGGCCTAAGATAAAAATGCCGGCCTCTGCCATTGCACTCAGTCAAGTCTCGATCGTCTCTTTCGGTTTTACACTAGTCAATAATGAGACTGTCAAGAAAGAACACGTGCTTACCTCCAAGTTTCCGGTGTTTGACCTATTCCACGACATTGCACGCATCCTTCAGACTATTCACCGACATTTCTCTTCAGCTAAGTTCCAGTAAACCTCCAAACCAATTAGCCGCTTAACGGCACAGAAAGTTGAGCATGTTGAAAATGGGCCTTCCTGAAAGACCGGATTTATGAGCTTTCGGCAGACCATGTAATCTAGGTCTTGCACTACCAGTAGGACGTATGCGCTCGCTCGAAACTATCAGTATATCAACCACTGAAAGGATTATACTGGCTACGTTGCCTTTTGAACTCCCATCTAGGTGCCACGAACTTGGTGCGATTCAATCTCCACTCACTTGGAGCATTCCAGGTAACTCAACTTTCAACTTTTTATAGTCCAGCCTTCGAAATAACACATCAGGATCAGGTTCGAAGCCATACGAACCTAGATTTGACGAGTCGACATCATTCACACACTGTGGGTGCGATTGTTTTGGTGTATGAAGAATCGGTTATCGATCGGAACAACAGCACATGCCTGACTCTTCATCTCAGTGCGCATGGGTTGTAGATTAACGGACCTGTCACTCCTATGCGTAGGTTGAAACTACAAATTCTTGGAAGCAAACCCACCACGGTCAACTGCCCATGTGGGTATAAAAACTGCACCGCTCAATCAGCTATCTGGTGGTTCATCGAAGCTGGAGGTGTGCTGCATTCTGATCATTACATACAATGAAGACAGGATCGATCAGCTGATCTTTGTCACGTCGGCCCGAAATAGCTCAATGGTTAAGGCGCCAGCTCACGGACCGGTTCGTGGTTTGAACCCAACCTCTGAATCTCGACTGCTCCCGTCTAGGATTGAGCAACCTGGCAGTATCCCAGCCCTCGTGCCTCCTTCCGTTGGCAGGTATACACTGAATGAGTGCTACAGCTGAACGAATTTTTCGTCACATGCATACTAACCACTGGTTAGGTGTTTCAAGCCGTGCATATCACGGCTATGATTCTATTCATGCATCATCGTTGAACCGTGTACGGGTTCTAGTTGACGCTTTGTCGTTCTGTGATTTTGTCAGCACCGTGAGTGGAGTCACTCATTGGAGGCCGTTACTCTCGTGCTTGGATCATGAGTAGGAATGCCTCCGTTGTAGTACGGGGGTGGCGTGGCTACGCAGTGAAGTCTGTAGCTTGACCATGTATCTGTCAATAGAAATAAAAATAAAAATCGTCCAGTTGTCACACCCTTCCGGTGCCACCCGCAGGAAGCATGAGGGCTGAGAAAGTACCTAAGCCTGGACAGGGCCAGTCAAGATGCTTGGAAACCGCGGACGTTCCGATGATTAAACGCGCGTTTTAACCACCGAACCATCCGGAGCTCACATCTTTCAGTGCCTTTAATCCATAGTAGTTTGCGGCTTAAGGTCCCCACATAACCTAACGTAGCATGTTCCAGCTCAACACACGGTTGAGCGAAAAACGCTACCGTGGTAATTCCCTCTGCTGGCATTCCGGGCACATGATCGGAACAGCATAACATGCAATCATCTCGCTTATCGGGAGTAAGTTATTCCCCCTCAAACACCTCTCACGTATTTGATGAACCCGCTGAGCCAGTGGATTTTAACTAACCAATGGATCAAAAACCTGGCCGCTGCGCGCTGAGGACATCAAAAGACTTTCAATGTTTGACCATCGATGTCTTCGGAACATTGCCCGAATCTGGTGGGAACACCGGATCAGCAATGCTGAAGTACGTCCAATGGTATTCGGGAGAAATAACTCACCCTCGATAGATGAACTGATCACACTGCATCGGTTGCGCTGGCTTGGCCACATGTTGCGTATGCCAGTCGACCGACTTCCTCCAAGGGCTCTTTTCGCACAACCACGTGAAGGGTGGAATAGAGCCAGAGGAGGTCAAACAATGACTAGGCAGCGAAGTGTGAAAGCCTCACTTAGGAATAAACACTGCATGACTTGGTGCTGTCAAGGCTCATCGACGTAGCACGGATCAAAACTGAGTTCTATTCAGAACAGTGCTGTATTGTGCATACAGCCTTCCATGTTTTAGAAGAAAGACAATACAAAGGTGAGATATCAAACAACGGTGTTGTGTTGTTCTAAGAGATTCCTTCGGGTTATTCTTGAAAGGACCCGTTTATTTTGCTTATGTGATAGATCGATGGGCGGAATACCAACCCCGCTAGAGTGACCGACAGGTCACCCTTTACAATCCACATACAAGTTGGTCAACGGAACCTTGACGTCAACAACAGTATGCTGCTCTCCACCGTTGTCATCAACCACTCGCAAACGCATCTCGCTGCGTCTTTGAACAGCGCCCATCCCGGTGAAATCAAACCGGTCAGTCAAGAACGTGCCCAAACTTCAGATTTTAGCTTGTCAAGGTATCTTGAAAAGGCGGTCACCGTAACATGTTGAATAACCCTCGATTTGTGTCGATAATCACACGCTCCTTAAAGCTCTGTAGACACGATCAGGTTAGGAGGAAGTAAACACCCGACCGCTCACTGACCATATTCCCTCGATTGGTGATGAAATGTTCGCACGTTGATTGTCAGGCCCGCCGAACAAATCAACAACCCTTAAGCGCACATGAGAGCTACGAATCTCTACGGGAATTTGCAAATGGTTTGAATTCTTTTGCTGGATGATACCCAGTCTACTTTACAAAACCTGATTGAAAATAAATAATAAATCGCTCAACCGTAGCACCATTTCGGTGCCCAACTGTCATGCACCCAGAAAGAAGCACGAGGGCTGGGATACTACCAGGTTGCCCAAGCCTAGACAGGGGAAGTCGAGAGGCAGAGGTCGTGTTCGAACCTTCCAGTCAATAAATTCGCGCTCTAACCACTGAACCATTTCGTCCTGGGTTAAAAACAAAGACTGCTCCTCACGGAAGATAACCTGTAAGCCGACCTTACTTATCTGGACGGGATATCTTCTTCAAATGGATACCCACCAGAATTTGTGAAGGAGCATAGCATGCTTCGACTGAACTAGGTGCATGTCTGTTGTATCGTGGGTGCCCGTCTATTGGTTACGCCTGCACTGAGCCTGCCAGACTACGCGATAGGGAGAAGACAGAGAACTGGGGATACGGCTGTATTGTCAGGACAAAACATACAGAGTGTCTGCGTAAATATATAGGATGGCTAAATGGCCAAATATGGTCGTTCACTTGTTCGCTCCGTACAGCCAATGGCGGTGTTCCGGTCGTGAACACTCTCAGGTCCACTATGCTAATCGTATGTTGCTAAGCCATGTTTGGTGAGCTCTGCCAACACATCTGCTTGTGTCGTGCTGATGATGACCTTGGGGATGCCTCACTCTCCGCACATGTACTTTTCCCATGTCTGGGCGCGTCCTGACAGTGTTTGACATAGTACACTCGTTTTCAGTTTCTGTCCAGATTGCCTGAATGAATGTCTGGAGGTGTAGGCACCTCGGAATGATTGTGTTAAGCTAGCACTAAGTCCCTCCCCCATCCACCTTTATTCTTTTCTTTACAATAAGGCTTTCAAATAAGTCATGGCTGTACGGCAGTGAAGCATTGGTGTTGAGCACTGATGTCATGCTGTCGTTGATGATGATGATGATGATTTCAAACCACATTAGTATGGACGACTGACTCAATTGAATTTCTCGTGCCAAAAAAAGATCTAGACAGGCAGAACACATCCCGGTCAGGATGTGTGTGTGAATAAGTCCGGTCGCCACACCGAAATGCAAACCTGGAGGCAAGTGCACGGAGGATGCCATCTTCATCAACAGCCCAAAGAAAGCACAGCTAGTCTACACTGAACAGTCGTGAAGTACTGTACAGTGGTTTCATTCCTATTTGAACCCATCATGAGTGCGCATCTCGCGAAACCCCAGAGAGCATCAAACCCGCGGCATCCCGGCTAGGTGTTTGTACATTTTACGGATCGTGGGGAGGTCCGGAGTCCAAGGTTTCGTGAGGTGCGCACTGCTCCACTCGAAAACGAACAGGAAAGTCAGTTGCCGTTTCTTGATATACTACTAATCCGAAGACGCAGTGAGTCCATAGAACAATGTATTTATTGAGAACCAACACGTTTTGTCGGTTCTTTTACCTGAGGTGAATCTTTTACATCGCCCATATGATAATGCAGTGAAAACCTGTGTCGGAAGTCACTCTGCAGGAGAAAGTGGACTTTTCCCATTAGAGTCGTCGACCGAAAGGATTTCCGGCGAAAAAACTCAAACTGGCCTCGCAATAAATTCATGTAGGGGTAGAACTCAAGCCGCTTCGCCTCCGCCTCCCGCTCAAGGACGATATGTTAAACGAATTTTCAGTGAGAAGTGTACAAAGGACTTTTACTGGAATACGCGTTGTCCCGTACCTGAACGTGGCCTTCACCAGCCTTCCTGTCATCAAACAACAGCTAAGAGACAAACTTCATCGTCAGACCATTTCGCGCATAATATTTGAGTCTGACGAATGGGTATCGCAAAATCTAAATGGCCTTCGCTCAAAGATCATGTGGTCGTCGACCAATCAGGACACGAGATGACAGAGCAACTAATTGGTAATTGATCAGGTGGCTGTTGATCTGTTCGCCGAGCTTGGCAATTGGTTTGCAAACGTTTCGTCACCATTCGAGGAGACAT